ATTTATTTTAGAAGTTAAATAACGAGTGTTGCTTCTTTTACTTACTTCTCCATGAGTGCCAAACCACAACGACCGCAGGCTTTTCATTACGTCCCATCTTCTTAGCGACCGTCAGAGCCAGCTGATAAGTTACACTTTTGCCGAATCACGTGGGAAGGACGCCAAAAATATCTCTCCGATCGACAAATGCTTTGATTGCAGTTCTCTGTTTGTCTATTAAAATGAATGCGCTGCCGATTTATTTTACAAAAGACGCGACAGGGGAATCTATACATCTCAGTTCTCCAGCTGCAGTCATCTTTGACAAGCGCTCTTTGATAACGTGATGATTACGTTCCTGCAGATCATCTGTCCATCATCGTATAAAGCCCGCCCTGGCATTTGATTGGCCATTTCAATGGATTGAGTCCAGACCGAACTTCTGACCAAAAAAATTTTGTGGGCGGAGTTCAGGCTGGCATCCAGGCTACATTATTACTCGATTTTTGTTACAATTTAATTAAGCTTATTTTTTGAATAGTGTTGGCTCTGTGACGAATCCCATTACGCTCCTACAAAAGCATCTGCTAGTGCTAAATGCATAAATGTGACTTAAAAGTAATAATGTTATAGAAAGTAATGTTATATTAGTCTTATCTATGAGATCCCTGCAAATGTGCATAGCAATGTATTTTGCCAACTAAAACACCATATAGGAGGAGGAGGAGTGATGGAGGCGGTAGTGTGCAAGTAGTATGCGATGCATGAGCTAGAGTGGGCCGCACATGTAGGTGAGAGTGGGAGACTGATCTATATGCTGGGGAGTGTGTGAACGCAGTATGAGAGGCAGGAGGAGGGAGTGCATCAGCAACCGTTACTCACATTCCCCTTTCAACGACAAAAATGAAAGCGAGTACAGAACGGCAGGAATGCGGCCAACTGTGGAGCTGAATAGGGATTACTCAATGCCGAGGAGATTGTGAAGAGGCAGTGGTGAACAAACATAACGGACTCTTAATGCTACAGAGTCCAAATCACACATTTTAGCAATTTGGACGTGAGCTGCTTGGATCTCCAGCACTTGGCATGCCACTCTTTGTCTTAGATGCAAACCTGCTGCATAATCCTGCCATGTGAGGCTGCTTTATGGATGTGATATAAGCGGTTATAAGTTCAGTGAAACCCCAAGAGATCCACAACCGACTGTTTATGCAACAATTACCGGCACATGGCATGTACCCGAGGAATATGAATTGATGCGCATGTCAGTTAGTCAAAGTGTTTCATCCGCTCTGCTGGAAACGGGGAGGGAAAAAGCTGAGATGCTGACTCATATTATGAAAGCTCACTACATAAATAGCACAGTCATCATGACCCAGCACTTTTTGAACTGTTTCTCTCACCAAGCCTTTCATAACACGCTCAGCTGTTTCACAACACAGACAGAGTAAAGGACTTAAGTGTGAGGTATTCACCACACATCCATCTGTAATGAACAACAAAACATTACAAAATCTATCACAGGTTCTAGCTATTTTCAGCACTGCCCTTTCTCATATTTTGAGCATTCTGAAAAGCTAGAATTGAATTCACTGCATGTATTGAATCTAAAGCTGCTAGCTGGAGAGTTGCTATGTTCCATGTTACACATGGAATTATTCAATTGCTCGTTGTTTAGTCTGTAAGTCAGTGCAAGAGACGCATGACTTGAGCCTGACCGACAGTCTATCACTCACTGACAGGCGTCTAGTCATCACCGGATGGCAAAAACAGAAATGACCACAGACCCTACAGTAGATTTCCTGTCTGCCTCAAAAGATCATTTCTAGAAAACACAGACACCGTGTTTGTGTAAAATTCAGACTGAAGTCTCAGAAGGTGTTTTCCCTGAAGCTTGTTTTTTTTTTTTTTTTTTCAAACGGAACCCCATACTTTCCCCCCACAGTCTGTGAGTCAGTCAGCTGACGCAAGACAGCAGGAATCTGGTCAGGGGTTTTGTCCCGTCTAGACCGAGCAGGACGTAACTAGAGATGGAGTCACAGTGGAAAACAAAAGCAGAGCCTCTGCAGTGAAGTCCTATACTGCCACTCTGTGGTGTAGTATATACGTGGCACTCTTTATTCATGACTACTGAACTGTGGATGGTATTTATATTTATATAATATTAACATATACCAAAAAAATGTTTGTTGACTGTGAATTTACAACTGAAAATTTACTGAAAAGATTTTCAAGATATTAGGACCGAATTATATACAGTACGGGTCAAAAGATTGGAAGCATTCCTATTTTTACTGGTTTTGAAAGAGGTCTTTTATGCTCAAGCTTGCATTTATTTAATCAAAAATACAGAAAGAACAGTAATATTGTGTGAAATATTATTACAAATTAAAATCATCGTTTTCTATTTTAAAATACTCTGAAATATCATTTATTTCTGTGATGAAAAGCTGAATTTATCAGCCATTAGTTATTCCAGTCTATCGCATGGTCCTTCAGAAATCCCTCTAATATGCTGATTTATTGTCAATGTTGGAAACAGTTGTGCTGCTTAATTTATTTATTTTTTAGAACGTTATCTTTTTGAACTAGAAAAAGTTCAAAAAGAACAGCATTTATTTAAAATAGAAATCTTTTATAACAATATACACTGCCCTTCAAAAGTTTAAGGTCAGTCATTTTTTTCTTTATTTTTAAAGGAATTGATACTTTTATCCAGCAAGGATGAGTTAAATTGATAAAAAGTGATAGTAAAGATTCATATTGTTAGAAAAGATTTCTAATTTAAGTAAAAATGGCAGAAGGCTTACGTATCGCAGCCCATAGAAACAGACACTAATGAAGCATCTATGGACCCTTTTCACAGAAGTGGTGATGTGTTTTAACTGTTTTTAACGTAAATCCAGCAAATATTTCATTTGTTATTTTTTTAATGTATGTGCATTTTAACATTACACTTTGTATTTAATTACCTTTGCATCTAATTACAAAAAAACTAGTTAATGCTGCTGCTGTGTAGGCGTTTTTAATACAGAGGCTGTGTAAAGTTTCTATCTTCCTCTCTTCTAACTGCTGTTATCAATCTCCCTCTATTTTTTTTATAAATATATAAAAGTTTTTATTTTGCTATTTGAACAAATTAGAACACAAAAATATATTTAATGTAGTCTTTCATTCACCGCTATACAGTTTACCCAAATGTTTACCCAAATTCTACACATACATTTTATAAACTCCGGAGCTCTCAGCTGGTTAAAATGCCAACTTATGTGGATGATGCACATTCATACAACAAGCACATTTAGCCCAGCACACAGCATGGTTTTAGATGTTTGGTAAGTTCTGTCTCAAAATAGGCAATACGTCATAAAAGCCAACCAATCAGGTTGTGACCGTATCCCTATGCCTTTAGGTTCGGTGATAAAAATGGCAATCTGAACGCTAAGCAGATTTTTATAGTCTTCCAAGGCGAAAACCCAGCTAAAACACACGTAAAAAGCCTTAATATGCAGCGAAAAAACACCCAATCTGGCAACACCATCCAGCAGTGTCGCACCACGGGCGCCGTCGACAAAACAGGGATTTTTTTTTAAAGGGATTTTATGACGAGGCCGGTGAGGATGGGAAAAATCTTACATTTCTGTGCAAACTGCCCGTCGATAAAATAATTGTTGTCTGTGGTTGTATATGGGGTGTGGCAATAATAATAAAAAAAGAGCTCGCAACATATGGATAAAAAGAACTATAAATGAACTAGTTCATTTTTTGAAGAATGAACTATGAACTGAACTAGTTCATTTTAAAATGTGTGAACTGAACTTTGAACTAGTTCATGTAGAAAGTGAACTTTCCCAACACTGGTCACACTCATGGAGTAGAATCAAGTATACACAATATTCGTTGTTTCCAAGTCTATTTTAGAAACTACCAGCAATAGTATTTCCTTTTTATGGCCCATTTCTTTATTCCGAAAACAAATAAAACCTAAGGAAAACCAGTGACCGGTAATCATGAAAGCAATAAAAGAATTCTGAGGAGGCATTTACACGACACCGGAACTTTTTAAGTGTCGCCATCTACTGTCCAGGCATAAATAATACAGCATTTTTAGTCGTTTTTGTGGATCTATGTGAATGGGGATTGTTTTGATAACAATGTCGTCTTTACACACAAAAAAAAACGTAAAGGAAAAACGTTTCTGTTTTTAGTACATCATTAGCCGAGTTCCCATTACCCTTCAAATTGTGCAAATTGAAATTGTGATTTGAAAATACGAACAATGGAAACGCAAAAACTCCCATTTATCGCAAAAAAGTTTTTACTCTCGCATGAGGTGTTTTCAGGCATTTCAAAAAAGGAATATTTCACAAAACTGCAATGGCGCATTTTACAGTCGCCTAACTTAGAAGGCGGTTAATGAAAACGCTGTCATTTCGCAATAGTTTTTTTTACGATATTAGAAGAAAAGAGAATCGCAAAAGTGTAAGCGCAAATCTGTAATCTGAAACGTGCCTAGTGTTGTGTAAATGTACCCTGATTCTACAAACAAAAACGTGTAGCTACATACAAAACATGCAGTTGAAGTATGGTTAACATAATGCAAATTCAAAATTATTGTTGCTCTCCTTTCATTGTTTGATTTCTAAAAAAAAATCATTCCTATCTTTTATCAAATGTGCAAACAACATGTCAATGACAAGAAATATACAATTTAGAAGCATGTACACATGAACTGTCTATACATCAGCACTGAACCACAATGAGGCCTCATCTATCTCTATTATCAAAACTGAACTGTGGACTGGGTGGTTGCTATGGACACAGCCCATTGTAGGCTGCAGAGAGTATATGCATGAATCAGTGAAATATTGTTACATTGACACCCCCATGTGGTCAAGCTGCAACAACTGTATGCCAATATATAAAATTCCCTGTCAACTAAATTCAAACATAACCTGTATCATAACATAATCTGCATTCTTAGTTAGATCAATATAACTTTTATTTGGAATTTGTCTTACCTGGATGATGGAGAGGCTGTAGACCAAAGCTGGCTCGGGTACCTGCAGGTAAGTTGACTTGTCTAGAAAACAAAAACACAATATACATATCATTTATATTATTGCAACATGTGATTTCCCATTTGACCATCTACTTATGTAATCTTACTCTATATTATCTGTGAATAAATTGTTACAACTGATATATTGCAATTAAAAAGTGAAATATAATAAGGAACAAAAAGGGTTTTTAAAAAAGCACATTGCAAACAAAACATCAACACGTACCCACACAAACATAGCAAAAAACGTATTTAAAAAAATAATAATAATATCATAATTCACACTTGTTCAATAATATGTTAAAAAAAATGAACTAAAATGTTTCAATTTGATTCAATAGAGGGCAGTGTCCTGATGTAAGGCCACTAATACAGATTAGGTTAGAATTAGCAGAATTATTTCAATTTTAATCTGCTTTTAGTAGCTATGCGGAATTAATCTGCCCCACCACCGTCTGCAAGGTTTTGTTTTTATCTCTCTCTAATCATGACACAGAAACATGCTCAGACAGGCTTTATCTTAGCAAGTGTACACATACTGTAAATTCTACCCTTATTTTCAAATGGGTTACTGACTCTGAACTGGTACACCTTGGTTTACACTATCATTTTACACATAACCTTTACTTTATAATACTCTTTCTTTGCAACTATTAATGCCAATTAAAGCTTGAATATCATTGACTCAAATTATATCACAATGGCATTATGACTATAAATAAATAAATCCTATTCCACACTAAAAAAATATGAACTAGTCTAATGGAAATTTGTATTAATAGTTAAACATTCCACAATAAATAAATCCTATGAATATGCAATAGTGCATTACAAATCCAACCCAACATATTTATAGTCTAATCATAACTGGCCGCACTTTCATCATACAGTTTCACATGTTGTTGTACATGAGATGGTGAAATAAAGTGCGTTCCAACTATAACCATTATTCATGTTGTCAAAACAAATATTTCCAACCAGGCAAACCAGAGTAGAAAGACAGAGAGAGAGATGTGAAGCGGCAAAATCAAAACCTATGAATTATTAATCTCATCTCATTCAGTAGAGCTCCGAGTATGATCCTATAGCCAAGCAAAACAAAGTGGCTGGACCAGTTGATAAACCTGCTGCAGTTCACTAACCATCTGTTACTGTACACAGAAAATGTATCTACTGTCTGAAAGAAACGCATGTATTAATTAGGGTTCCAGTGGAATAAGTGAGTGAGTCCGTTCTGTAATTAGTGCACAGTAGCAGGTCCAGCTGTAATTATATTCATGTCCCTGGAAGACTTAATTCATGGAAAATACAGGTCGCTTCAAGCCACCTGATTAGCTTGAGCTAATTGATTTTAAAGACTCTATGTGTTTGGTATCAATACAGTAAACATTTTTTGATAATGTGTGTATCCTGTATATATATATATATATATATATATATATATATACATACACGTTCAGTACACATTCTGCACATTATCAGAAAGTTTACAAGATTAAATAACCGTTCTTTTATAAAGTATGAGTTCCAAATGAAAACAAAACCAATACGGGCATGTGCCTTTAAATTATTATGTTTTGTACATACAAAGGAGGGGGAGGTGATACTTGCACCTGCACTTAGACAATGTGACATATAACTGCCCTGAAATACATTTAGTATCTGTCAGGAGAGTATACAGCATTAGATGCATTGATAAGACTAGGCATTGGCAGACTAGACTTTGTAGTGAATCAACTGCACGGTGTACAAGCACACTGTGAATTCTGTGGCTCAGTATGGTAATATTACCAAAATGGTGACAATGGCTCACCATGAGGTCATTTTCTATAATAGGCAAACAGGAGTGATACATCAGCAAATGTAATACATTACATTGCATTGACCAGAGCAAATCAAATACTTAATCTGTTAAATGATGAATCTATTCTACTTGCCCTTTTGATTTGCGGGGAACATTTAAACCCACTCATTATAGGTTTTTTTTAAAAAATAAAGGAGAACTGTGACAACAAAAATATAAGTAAAAGTTTCTTGACACCCAGCACAAAATGAACATTAGACCAGTTGAGAAGTGTTATATGCAAAATACTATTTTTCATTAGATACAAGCAGAAACTTGTACAGTACACTAAGTATCTTTAATAAAACAATAAAATAAAATGCATTATATTATTATTTTATTATTGGAGATGCTTCTCTGACCACTGCCTATAAATTATGGATTACCTTTAAGCTATCTAAATGTGATTAAACATGACTAGTAATAACCATAACCACTATGTAACTAAATCATATTTGTCATATGCACATAATTGTAATCGACTTGCCAGAGGAGGATGGGCTCCCCCAGCTGAGTCTGGTTCTTCTCAAGGTCCAACCTCCCTGTTCACCTAAACATCTTATGGAGTTTTTTGTTCCCTTGCCACAGTGAGATAATATTCTGTACAGCAACTATGAACGAGATGTTTGGTGAAAAGTGCTATAGAAAGCAAACTATTACATTATGCACAACCTTATAAGTGACTAAAATAAGGAAAAGCAGGCCTGTGTAGCTGTTAACTAGTGCTGCTCGGCTGTTTCTGGGTTTTTATGTAAAGTCCAGAACAGTGTAACTGCATTCAGACAATATTTCATCATGACATCGTCACATTAAATCAGCCCAAAACGATGCAGAAGTGCAGGCATATCTGCCATAACGCACAGCATTTTGCTCCAGAGCTCTGTTGCTGTTGGTAGGCCTTGCTCACACTGATGGAAAGACAATGCGGGCATTTTGACAAACGGTACACAATGTACGGCTCCTTGCCTATAGCTCTGAAGACTCCTTCAAACGATGTATACAATGTACAAACCTATAATGACCCGGCGCTGCAAATATCTTCCACGGAATTGGAGAATATGTAAGGCGTAAATGTGTTGACAGGAGGCGCAGGAAAGCTTCTTCTCGCCTGTTAAGCTTTAGTTTGAGCCAGAGAGCAAAGATTGATTCACACAAACACTCAAATGCCAATCTTGCCCTCGCGTTTTTTAAAGCAGACATAACATGCACAGTCCACTAAATATTATTGATGCAAAGCCCACTCCCCACCCCACCGGGCAACGCTTAGAAAATTCAAGCGGTTTCGGATTCGTGACACCGGTGGCGTGGAGCGCCGCGCGCCCTGCCTATAACGCAAACGCGTTGAAAAACACGGGCGTTTAGGTAAGCAAACGGATGCTCGATTACAAACCTGAAGTAAGGAAGCAAGGAAGAAAATAAGAGCTTGTTGTATACTCACCGCGTCTACAGTGGTTGTGGAGGTAATTTAAAGGGCCAGGTTCGCGCAGATTGTTACCCCCCCTTCTAAACAAACACCACCCCCTCCGTGTACCAGTGTCCACCCAGTCAGTCCCCCCACCACCGGTGACAGCGTTCTCGCACACAAACTTGCTTTTCTCTCCTGGGAAAAACCTGAGTCGGTGCTGAGTCAAATAAGGCGGCTCTCCGTTAAAATCGAAAACCAATCAGTTTCGCCAGCTCTGCCCTCTCCACCCTCATCGGGTGCCTACGGGTTTGGTTGCGTCCGTCGGTGAACTGTTTCGCTGCTCGATTGGATTTTGGGGGGTTTTGAGCTGCCGGGCGGTTTAAGAAGAACACTTTACGTGCAGCGGTTCATCGACCCAGTCTTCATTAGCCTACACATTTGGGCGCACAGAACTCGTTACAGTCTTCCACCGCAGTATGCAGTAACGCCTACTGACCCAAGAGGGCGCTAGTGTACAAACTCCGTTCACACATGGAAGAAGAACGACGATATTGGATATTTCATTATTATATTTTAATTTCAATATATTTAATTATTCCATTGTTTGTATTCAAAACTGTTTGAATGTGTATTAATTTCAATCATTGCTGATACCTATTTCCATTACTACTTAACTGCTAGTTGATAACATTTATTTTGTTTCTAATATTTATTCCATCTTTACTTGATTAGTAGTAGCCTAGCAATACACACACACACACACACACACACACACACACACATATATATATATATATATATATATATATATATATATATATATATGTATATATATATCAGAAATGTTGCTATTAGAATAAGTAGCCTAGCCGAGTAGGCTAGCCTAATTATCTTTGTAGTTACTTGTAAAATTGAAAATTATCCTATTGGATTTTAAGTTTAGTAACATAAATATATAGGCTTAGTAAAAGAAATAGCACTTGGTGGCATAGTAATTCTTAAAGAGATAGTTCACCCAAAATTGCAAATTCTGTCATCATTTACTAACCCTCATTTCATTCCAAACCTTTATGACTTTCTTTCTTCTGTGGAATAAAAGAAGATATTTTGAAGAACGTTGGTAACCAAACCGTTTTAGTTCCCTGACGACCATTGTATGGACAAAAATACTGACATGACATTTCGCAAAATATGTTATTTTTAATGTTCCACAGAAAAGTAAGTCATTCGGATTTGGAATGACATGAGGCTGAATAAATGATGACAAAATATTCATTTTTGGTAAACTATCCATTTAAAAAAACTCTCAGAGTTCCCTTGCAAATGCTATTTCATAGGTATTATTGTTGCGTATGTTACACAACTGCAGAGAAGTGTAACATACGCAACAATAATATGGCTTTAGAGGGATGTGTTTTGCTTTCTTGAATAAGCCATATATATGTGTTAGATATAGGCTACTGTGGATCTGTACCTCCAGGCACATGTGGCATTTGGGAAATGATCAGAGTGAGCCAGCCTTAATAATAAAGCCTACGGTTCCCATCCGAACTAGGTCTTTCAAAGCTTTTAAAATGCAGTCATGGCAGTTTATAAGACTGTTCCCTGTGGCAGTTCAAAAGACATTATTAAAGTCAGCTAATCGCATAATGGACTGTTAATCTAACATAATACCCTTTTAAGCACAGAATATTGAAATTGTGTCCAATGGGAGTTGCATTTACATTCACTGTCCAATTGGAAGCAGGTTTGAGTTTTTGGTTACCTGTTTACTTAAACCATCTGAAATCTATTTTAGGCCTTTTTTAAATTATGAAATACATAAAAACTGACCCATGTATACATCCACCTGAGATTTGTGCTCGTGAATGTTAAAGATGTTTACCATTATCTGTTTGCTTTGAGACACTCTACTGTTTTATTCAAGGACTGTGTAGACGATTTGTCTTTTCTTTCTGCTTCACTTCACAGCCTCCCTTAGGATCCCTGCAAGATTCTCGTTGTGTCTTTGGATTCTCAAAGGTCCCAAATGACTTGTGCTAACATTTGATTTGGCACAGCATAGTTGCTGTATTTTTACAGTTGGATGTATTAAATGGGGGTGGAAGACACTTTATTGCATTTTGTCCTCTGGAACATGAAATTTTGCTGAGTATATTTTTTTTCATTTTCTTATGCTTTGAAGTCATGCAGTTCTCTCTCCTCTCTCCCTCTGAAAGCAGCAATTCATACCAGTCTGCATGGAAACTGCAATACTGCTGAGAAAGGAATGAGGTGGTGCAGTTGTTGGGAGGCGGGGGGCAGAGAGAGAGAGAGAGAGAGAGAGAGAGAGAGAGAGAGAGAGAGAGAGAGAGAGAGAGAGAGAGAGAGAGAGAGAGAGAGAGAGAGAGAGAGAGAGAGAGAGAGAGAGAGAGAGAGAGAGAGAGAGAGAGAGAGAGAGAGAGAGAGAGAGAGAGAGAGATTTTTTTTTGATTTTGACAATCAATTTATTTAAAAATTGTTTACATTTTATACAATTTTACACACACCTAAAAGAAAAAATAAAATAAAAATAATAAATAAATAAACAAAAAATAATTACTGCAACTCTCTTACAAAAACAATTTCTTCATCATTGACTGAACACAGAGCATTATTACAACACCACTGTATTTCAAAGTCTTTTATCGTGCTCATCAATTTATGAAAGTTAAAATCAATAAGAATTCTTGATTTTACCATATTTTTGAACACTAATACACTCAAAAAAATGATTCAAGGCCTTCTTAGAGGTGACACATTTAAAAACAATTTGATTTATGTAAATATATCTATTTAAGATCATATGTATATATATTTAGGTGGTCTAACTAAAAATTTATTAATAGCTCCACCTATGAGATTGATTTACGTTGGATCGCCCAAAAAAAGTTTCATGTGGGACCGCCCTTTGCGCATGTGCGAGTCAGCGCGGTCTTTTCGCCCATCTCGTCTCATTCTCTCAGTGTACGCCAAGGCAGAGGGTGGACGACGGTACGTAAAGGCGAATATCTACTACTTGGTAAGTATTCATTTGTTGATTAGAAAGTATCTTACTGTCAATTATCATTAATACAGTAATATAGGCTGAGATGTGTGCATCAGTTAACGTTAAGTGAGCCTAATTTCACTCTTCAAAGCTGAAGGGAGTTGCTTGCTAAGGTTAACTTTGGTGGTTAAGTGCTACTTTTGTACTTTAAGGTTAGTCACGTTGACTGCTTTGGTTAAATTATGTGTTCACTACTCTTCATCGCCGCAATTTCGGACGAGTGATGCCGAATTTCTGTTGTTTGTGTGTCTAATTATGGTCGCGACAAGCGTTAGCAGCCAAGGTCCAAAGTCCAAAGCAAAGCCGTCAACCGACCGGGCGTTGGACACTGGGTAATGTTATGCGTTTTTTTCGCCATGTGTCATTAATGGCGGCCAGTGTTATATTATTTTCGTCAACGACATTTTTTTTCACAGACGAAAACGAGACGATAACTAAATAAAACCTAGTTTTGAATGACAAAAACTATGACGAAAACCTATTGACATTTTCTATTGACAATAAAAACGACGAAAATGTCAAATAGTGACTATTTGGGAAGCGATTCAGTCAGAACTGATGTCCTGCGTCTGTGGTAGATGCGCACATTTCAGTAGAGCAGACATACAACGTTAGATCTGAATAAGAGTGAGGACGCAAAAAAAGAGCTCTAACGTAATCATTACGGTTTTCTGGGCGCACACACAGCGCGCGAGTCTTAAACTGCGCTCTCTTTCGTGTCTGAATGGACATAATACACAACATTATGTCTAAATGTCCATTTTGGACAGTATTCACGTAAACTATGTCGGTTATGTCTTAAAACAGTTGTGAGTGTATCGGATGTGCGTCAGTGCAATTCAGCATGTCATTGGACATGATCCGATGTGTGTCCTTAATAGTGGTCAAGCAACAAAAAAGAAAACCATTCACTGTTTGTTATAGCTTTAAGGATTAATTATATTTAATTCATACAAATAAATATGCTTGAAAGAATGATGTATGCAAGTAGTTCTAAATAATGCATATATCATTAATTAAAAGGAAGACTGTTTTACTTTAGGAAAAGTGGTTTGATTTAATTTAAAGATTTTTTAAAGTCACAGTATTTAAATCTGTATCTGTATTGCATGTTAAAATTTAAAAATCATTCATATTAATAGGTGCTCTACTTCAGTTCAACCTACAATATTAAGCAAATAACGTGTTTGACTATAATTAATAATTACTTTTATTTGGTTACATTGCCTGAGTATTTGCTCCATTGCTCACACCTCTAATATATGCATCTCATCTTTTGCAGTTGAAGTTGAAAAGCAGTTTACGGCAACCTCCTATTAATGGTAGGTAAGACTAGCATTACTTGCTCAATTCTAGCACAAACTTATTTGCATCATTGTCATGTGATATGTGCTAATTGTCTTTATTCTCCTTTTTAGGATTATGAATGTGGCAGTGCAAAGAATGCAGTTTGCAATTAGCTAGCAGGTATTTGTTGTTTGCAACATTTTAGGCAGGTTCATGGGAACTTAAGGGCAGTTATTAATATCCATGTACATACACCGATTATTTGGTTCATCCACTCACACACCAATGTAAAACATGCAAGAAAACTACCAACTTGCTTGTTGGGGGCATTTAGGGGTTAGGCATCCTGTTCAGACTGAAATTACCCTCTAATCTAAATTAGACAACCTGCTCCTTCTCTGTGTCACCAGAACAACCACATTTGGCTAAATTGTGTCTCATTTTTAACCCCTGCTTCAGCGTGACAACATCAACACCAGGAGGGAGTGTATCCTGAGATGCATCATCTACCTCAATGAAGATCCAGACACCATCTTCAAAGAATATCTGGTAAATTCATCACAATATGTTTGTCATGTAGTGTTGAACTGTTACTCCCTTACGTCTCCCATGACACACTATTTATATTGACAGACCCTAGGGCTGGGCGATAAATTGATTTTATCGATTAATTTGAATGTGTAGTTTACGTCGATTTTATTTATTTTTTTAATGAAAATCGGTTTTCTCTTTAACAACCTCTGAGCTCCTGTGGTTCTGACTGGACTCAGGGCTTGCCAAGATAGAGATACACAAACAACATGGCAAATGAACACTGTGAGAGACGCAATTGTCACTTTTTACACGCTCTCATGCACACATGCATTTTCTCACGCAGAGAAAAGTTAGGCTACTATTCATATGAAACATAGCCTATTCTCATCAGATTCTGTCAATTTTATTACAAAATTCAAACAATAAACACCGTTTTGGCACTTGTCACTAAATATGACATGAAAGATCGCAGAGCTCAGTTCAAGCGGTACGTGAACCGATCATCTGTTACTCTTTACTACTAACTTACCGTAATGTAATAAAATCGATCGATCAGTGTTTTTCAACCGCGGAAAGATGTCCATAAAACAGCTGGAGAACAACATGTCACCTAACGTTACATTTACCTCAGGAATGCCCTTCAATTAGCCATAACATGCATGTTAGTTGGACTTAAAATAATTACTATAGAGAGGAGTATTTTGCTAAATATGATAACTATATTACACATTTATTATATTTTTACCTATATCATTCAAATATTATAATGTTGTTTGTTGTTATAAAAACACATATTTAATTTGAGTTGGTTTTAACCTAATACCAGCTGACAGGGTCTCTCTGTATTATAGCATTAAGTGATTTATTTTTGGAGAACAATTAACATAACACATTAAGGTAGGATATCTACTGTACCTAATATTTACCCAAACGAATTGATATTGAATCAATATCCGAATCAAATCACAAGAATTGAATTGAAATTTGTATTAAGCAATAATAAAAACAATAGCATACCAGTCTTTGTACCATGTAAACATTGTGTTACATAGTTAATAAACTTAATAAAATTTTTTAGTTACCAAATACTTTGACAATCACAATAAACATTGTGAGTTTTTTTTTTTTTTTACACATCCCCCCAATCCACCCATTTTATGTTATGTTATATTTACACTATTTACAATGACAGGGCCTGCCCTCTTGTCTTTTTGGCTTGTTGTTTCTGATTGCACTTTAATCCAGATAATATCCCAGAAGGGAATAAAGTTAAAACTTGTTTTGAACAATTTCTTTGTCGTCTACAGATTGATTTTAAGTAGGGAGAGGAAAAAAATAGTTTTAAATCGTAAATCGGATATTTTTGTGAAAAAATCTGGGATTTTTTAGGCCAAATCGCCCAGCCCTACAGAGGTGTTCTTATGTACTGCTGTAGACAAGTGATCGTACATGTTTTTTGAATTTAGGGGGGGGAGTGTGAGTGTGTGTGCTTGGAGTGGGGAGATTGTTTAGAGTTCTGTTGGCCTGGGGGATGAAGTTGTGCTGTTGATAATGGACAAATGCTTTTCTATATGTATTTTTGTGTCTGATGCCATCACCTGTGGAGCCCAGCATCACTTTATGTCACCTTATTTCTATGTCCATCTTTATTTAACACTTGCTGTGTTTTCTGTGTTTGTGGTGTTCAGGCACCGGCGACCGAGGATGCAGAAAGGGACCTAGCAACCACAGTCATGTGACCGGAAGTGATGGGGATCAGGAGCCTGAGGACGTTGGAGTTGTGGAGTCAAGTTCATTCTATTTGGCATCATTCACCATGGTGAAACTCAAACATCCAACAGGAAAAAAAAAACATTTTTTGATTGGAGGGGTTCTAAGGAAATGAAGTTTAAATGTAAATGTATTTCAATAAAAAATAAAATAAAAATAAAAAAACAGTTTTGTCTCACGTGTATGTTAATGGATCAAATGAAAAATGATTTATATGTTTAATTGATGATAATTTCAAATAATTAAGTAAGTTTGAGTTGGTCAAATGAAAATCAATTTCATTTAGTTAATGTAATTATTTTATTTCAGCTGTATTTGGTAAAATTTAGTTAGGAGAACTCAATTACATACTGTTGTAAGTATTTGATAAAAATAAGTTAGGCTAACTCATTTAAATTCTGTTGAATGGATGTACTCAATTTGAGTTGGGACTACATATATTTATTGGATGGAAATCCTGCCCACAACTTAATTGAGTTCATCCAATGAATCATTTTTTTGAGTGTATGCGCTGAATGTTAAGCAGTGCATGCAAGCTGAAGTTAAGTGTGCTTTGCATAGTGAAAACTGTGCTGTATACATGATATGTAAAAATACCGAAGGATGATGGGAAGGACGCCTACTGTACACTGTAAAAAAATATTGTTGGTTTAACTTGAAAAATGAAGTAACCTGGTTGCCTTGAAATTTTAAGTTGATTGAACTGAAAAAATTGAGTTAATACAATGAAGGAGGTTGATTTAATCATCAGAAACTCAAAATAATAAGTTATCTGCACTGTAAAAAAATATTGTTAGTTTAACTTAAAAAATTAAGTTACTTGGTTGCCTTAAAATTTTAAGTTGATTGAACTGGAAAAAGTGACTTAAAACAATGAAGGAGATTAATTTAATCATCAGAAACTCAAAATATTAAGTTATCTGCACTGTAAAAAAATATCGTTAGTTTAACTTAAAAAATTAAGTAACTTGGTTGCCTTAAAATTTTAAGTTGATTGAACTGGAAAAAGTGAGTTAAACCAATAAGGAGATTGATTTAATCATCAGAAACTTAAAATAATAAGTTATCTGAACTAAATAAACTTTTTAAGTTGATATGACAAAAAGAAAAAATGTTGTGATAACAAATCTTGAGTGTAGAAGTATTTGCTCTGACGATGATTTGATTATTCTTTGCTAAATTCAGTCAAATTTATTAATATTGTGCTTATTGTCAATGAACTGGAGGACCATACTGAGGATCTGGATTTTAACAAGTAAAAATTGATAACACAGTCTATTTGACAGGAAAATGTTATTTGGTATTAGCACACTGTAAAAAGTGATCAGATGACTTAACTTAAAAAAAATTGAGAAACTCATGTGAAATTAAAAAAATTAAATTATGCGAACTTAGGAAAAAATGTCTTAAATTACTACCGTGTTCTTTCATGTTTAACGGGTTATTTTTTTCTAGTGATAAAGTATGCTTTGTTTAATTCATAACATTTAATCAAAAGAAAAAAACAATTAAATCAAAATTATTAAAACTAAATCCACGTAAAATGATCCCATGATGGGAACGATTCTGAAATAAAACCTTTTCTTCTAAAAATGATTATGTTTTCTTTTTTACCCATAAAAAACATTAAAACTTTGGTGTATTTATTTAAATGTACAAGTCTTTCTGTTCTGGAAAAACTGTCCAAAAACCAATGCTCTCAACCAATTAAATGCTCTCCATCAGTTAGCAATAGCAAACAGGGGTTCACAAGTGTGACTTTAACTAAAGGTACTGGCTACCTGAAATTATACATGCCATTGGGTGCTATTGTTCCTTTCCACAATAAGAATACAGCTTATGTGTTTTGTGCTAACGCGGTTATTGCATTTCCTGTCATTGATATGCAATCATAACCTATTCTTGCATCTCCATGATAAGATTATGTGCCCCACGGTACTGTTTTGTGTACACAAACTTGGTCAAATGTAATTTTCTGTTGGAATGAATGTTATTAGCTCTCGTGATGTTGTAACGTGGCAAGTCTCAAGGGAGCTTGCAAGCCTTAATTACAGCCCTCGTTAAAATGCCTCCTAATTAAGCTTTTCTTCCTCCATGCATGAGTCCCAATCAGATTCTATAATGTGATTTTAATGTCATATACCTCCAAATTAAACTTACTGAATCAATATCTGCATTGATCAGCAGCTTCAAAACTTTGCATGGAACCAGAAGCGACTGAGCCCACACAGCTCAGTGAAAGTTGCTAATAATAAGGTGTTACCCATAGCTATAGTGTGAGTTGTTGGCTAAGTGGGTGGTAGTCATAGAAACAGTGTGTTTTTCTGTGGTGTTCAGATCTGCGGCGCATCACGGCAGGGTTCTTGGGCATGGCTGCTGCCGTAATGCTGTGTGGAAGCATTGTGGCCGCCGTGGGATTTTTCTGGGAGGAAAGCCTCACCCAGCATGTGTCTGGACTCCTGTTCCTCATGGCAGGTACACAACTCTGCTTATTCGGACTTATTATCTAACTTTCTCTTTTTCCTTGGCTACTTGTTACTCGTTTCGCCAAGTCGCATGCTTTCTCGTAGGTGGTTCTCTTTCCTTTCCAAGTTGTTGTCTACCTTGTTCCTTCTCCCACGTCTCTCCTTCTGTCTTATTTCCCTTGTTTTGTTGCTATATATATTTAATATATGTGTGTGTGTGAGCAGGACGAGAAATATATATTATATATCTAAATCTATATATTACTAGTGGGGATTTTTCAGTGACTCTTTCTGCAGGTCACATCCTTATCCTTAGTAGGTGGCGGTAAATGAATGCTTTTGTAAGTGAATTTCAACTGATTCGTTCAAAAGGAGTCTTAAAGGAGTAGTTCACTTTAAAAAAAAACTTTTGCTGATAATTTACTCAGCCCCATTTCACCCAAGATGTCCACGTCTTTCTTTCTTCAGTCGAAAAGAAATTAAGGTTTTTGATGAAAACATTCCAGGATTTTTCTCTATATAATGAACTTCAATGGGAACCAAACGGTTCAAGGTCCAAAAGACAGTTTCAGTGCAAACTGCAAACTGTTCAAAGGGCTTTAAACGACTCCAGACGATGAATAAGGGTCTTATCAAGTGAAATGATCACTCATTTAAAAAAAAATAACAAAGTTTAAGTTTTATAAGCTCAAATGGTCGCCTTGCTCTGTTCTGTGATGTGCGTTCGTGACTTTCCTGTTCAAACTCGTTCATCAAAATGAACAAATCTTGATAAGAAGCAAAACGATAAGTCGTTTCAAGCCCTTTGAAGAGTTTGCAGTTTGCACTGAAACTGTCTTTTGGACCTTGAACCGTTTGGTCCCCATTGAAGTCCATTATATAGAGCAAAATCCTGGAATGTTTTCCTCAAAAACAAAAAATTTTACGAAAAAAATTCATCAAAAATGTATTTTCGACTGAAGAAAGAATGACATGGATATCTTGGATGACATGGGGGTGAGTAAATTATCAGCAAAAGTTTTTTTTTTTTAAAAGTGATTTGTTCAAAAACATAGCGTTTATTAATCTATCTTCTAAAACCAATAATCATTTTTACGTTACAACAATATCAAGAAATTGCTAACCGATTGATTAGAAAAATCACTCAAACAAACAACCCTCACTGGGCTATCACTGCATTACATAACAATAATTCCTCTCTCTCACTCTTTTTACATCACATGAGGTGAAGAGTTCAGAAGATGTTATTTTCTTCTCATGTGTTGGATCAGTAACCTCAAAGGTTCTTCTTTCCCACAGGAATCTTTTGCACAATCTCACTGTGCACCTACGCAGCCAGTGTCTCATACGACCTATCCAGGAACCCTCCTTTCATCTACGGTCTGCCCGCTGACGTAGACCACGGGTACGGATGGTCCATCTTCTGTGCATGGGTCAGTCTGGGCCTAACAGTGGCATCAGGCTGTATCTGCACAACTTATCCCTTCTTGAGCCGCACAAAGGCTCTTCGCTCCAAAACGGCAAGGGAGTCATCAGTATGAGCGCCCCCTGTGGCCTGGAGGACTCAGCAAAACATTAATCAGCACTTGGCGCTTTAGGAAAACAGATTCAAGTGGGACTTCATGTTGTATGGAGCAGTTTTGAATGTCTTGTAGATTTCTGATCCCTGATGTGTTGATGTTATACAGAGTGAAAGACAAGACTGTTGGATTTCCTGTGTGTCTTCTATACACATTTGCTTACAAATCTCACACACATAAAAAAAAGAAGAAAAATACACACAGATATACAGTATGTGTGAATATAATGAAGAAAAACCTTTGATTTGAAACGAGTATGTGTATGTTTTTGGGTTGTTGTGATGCAGTCGTTCTCTGGATCAGGTGACACTTAGGATCTGAGCCACAATTTTTTTATGCAAACCATCTGAAATTCAAATGATTGCTCTGATCATGGTCAGTATTATTTTTTTATTATGCGATTAAAGCATATGTTTTGGTTTCCCAACCACGTGCAAATGGATACAAGTCGACTAATCATTGGCTCTAAATAAAAAAAACAGCTAAAAAATGTAATCAGGGATGAACAGGACGCTTCATGTCACCACATCAGACAAATGTATAAAGGCATGATTGCATATAGCCTATATCACCTCTGGGTAACAGCTGGTGGCTGATATTCAAAAAGATTGAAAAATCAAAGAGACGTGAGAAGTCTTGAGATCTAAGATGTGGATATGCAATTTCGTGATTGGATGAAATGTCTCTGAACTTGAACGCAATCGTAATATGGCAGCATGCTTAAAGTGGATGCTCTCGAATACCAGCCTCGCTCATGAAAGGCCTCTCATGACGTCACATCATTGCTGAAAATACAGATCCTTCAGTCCTACGAAGCAACGCTAATATGAAGCGACGAGGAGTTAATTAACTGCAGGATGTTGTTTTCCAAACTGAGCCAGAAACAGTAACATATCCCTGAAACTGTACTGTTTGCCTCAAAACTTCTACTGTGTTTCTGAAAGTGTATCGTAAATAAAATATTATAATGATGAAATAAAGGTCTATGAAGAAACTGAACGGCTTGTTATACGTGCTATTGTTTTTGTCAGACATATGGCGACTTGTTTTAAGCAGTGCCAGCATGTTTTCTGCTTTCTCTTTTTTCAAGAAGAATACTAGGCCACCTGTGCAGAAATATTAAACAATGCCATACATTTCACCTCATATAGCTATGATGTTTTAATCAAGAAAAGCTGTTTATAATGAGCAAAACTGAAGCTAAAAATGATAAATGTATAGGGGTTGGGGGTGATGGACTAAATTTTGACGCAATTTTCCCATTAACTTTTATATTGAGTGCCATGGACTATATATATATATATATATATATATATATATATTAGGGCTGTGAAATGATTAATCGAGATTAATCGCATCCAAAATAAAAGTTTGTGTTTACATAATATAGGTGGGTGCACTGTGTATAATTATTTTATATAAATACACACACATGCTTGTATATATTTAAGAAATATTTTCATGTATTTACTGTATATAGATTTATGTATAATTTATATTATATAAATATAAATATTTTATATAGAAATAATCTTTTTTTTTTCTAAATATAAAATAATAGACATATATATATAATTATACACAGTGCACCCACATATATTATGTAAACACAAACTTTTATTTTGGATGCAATTTGACAGCTCTAGTATATATATATATATATATATATATATATATATATATATATATATGAAGAGTTCAGATGCAAAAGCCTCTAAGTGCCATTTGAAATTTTCTTCTAGAATGATCATTTTTATCAAGCTTGTATATTTAAGTTCAGTGATTTCACTTAAATAGCAATGATAATTACCTATTAATTGTTATTTAAGTGAAATTACTGAACTTAAATATACAAGTTTGATAAAAATCATCATTCAAGAAGAAAATTTCAAATGGCATTTAGAGGCTTTTGCATCTGAACTCTTCATATATATGTATATATATAATTTAGCTTCAATTTATTTTTGAGTTTTAGTCATTTTAGTAATTAATTTCAAGTCTTTTGTCTATTATTTATATTTTATTTTCTTTCAGCTTTATTTTAATGAACAACAGTGACCTGAAAAATATCAAGGAAGTTTAAAATTGTAAATTTTCAGGCCTGGAAAACTCATATAATTTGAACAATCTTAAAACCAAAGCTCTAGAGCATGGTCAATGTTCCTAGTTATCCTCAGAGCTAAATGTATAAAATGTACTAAATGATCTTTGTGAGTATAAAAATCTCTATTTATTTAAAATCCCAATATCACCATTTATAGAACTTGAATGGACAAAAGGTGTGGCTGCACTGTTTATGAAAATGAAGCATTGGTAAAGAATGGTTTTCATTATTAAAAAAATGGATATGCATTGTAAAAATGTTTTTACATTTATTTACCTTTAAAGTCTGTTTCATTTAATTTATGTTGAAATTATTATTTCCAAGTTGATTGAACTTAAAAATTTAAGGCAGCACTTTTATTTTAATTTTTTTTGCAGAATAGGACTTTCAATCATTATGCCACAAGAGGGCGCCATATCATCATCAATATACACATAAACCTTAGTCTAAACTCTGAAAAGTTTTTATTTTTTATAAGGTACTTAAGTTTTATTTTATTGTGGTAAGGAAGATGGCGGTAACATATTGTGCATTACCCTTCTGTCAAGTAGGCTATGCCACAAAAACAAAAAAGGACAAAACTCAAATTGTTGAAACCATAAACAATGTTCCAGATAAAAATATTGTATTATGACATTAATCAAAATGAAACCTACAGGTATCGAGCACTCGCACAAGCGAGGGAAAACTACTTAAACATATCAGCGAAATGTATTGTAAATGAGGCTGGGGGTCGAGTGAACCGTGCTGGAGAAGATAGTGCCATCACCCGTGTGTGTGCGTGTTTGTGACTGTGTGTGTGCCAGCACAGTGATATGGCCAGACCAAAAAAAAAAAAAAAAGTGACAAAAATTAAGCTTTTACCAGTGCACTCATGTCCGCAAATGGGTAAAATTAGTCATATATCCTGAATTTTCTATTCGAAGATTGAACACGATATACAATAAGTTCATATTCCCAGTGTCTCAGTTGACTTTCTATCATACATGTTGTACTGTGATTTACAACCAAAAATAAAAAAATACAGCCTTTTCTTCATAAAGGGAGAAGTCACAAAAAACAGGAGAGATAACATGCATTCCTCATAGCATTAAAAAGAATTAAAACAGATTCCGAACTTGCTTTTGTACAAAGTATTTTCTCACAGATCTTTTTGACAGACAATAAGATTTGATTGTATGAACTAAAACTACTGATACCTGCACTAGAAACGTATGGAAACGTCTCAAGAGTTCATGAAAAAAAAAAAAAAAACCACCCATAATATACAAGTTCGGACACACACAAAATATTGCAATACATTTAATATTATTTTCAACTGTCCTCAGTAACTTGCTCCTATGTGAAAGTCTGTGGAGTTGAGCTGAGAGACGCAGTCCCATGTAACCAGGCTGGAAGGTGGCACAGTGTTTTTCTCTATATCTATTTTAGGTTACTTGAAAACATTGAACTCACTGAATTATGTCAATTTCAAATAAAATCATATCAAAGGCTTATAATACTGACAAATCCACACTTTTATGCATTAAAATCTGAAGGGAAAAAAAGTCTCTTGACATCGTTCGTTGTTTAAAACACCCGTTTGTAGGTCAAAAAACTATTTTCATCTTTAACCACAGATAAAGAGTTTGTGTACACATGATTTCTGCTTATTGAACAGCAAAATGTATCAAGTATATGAATGAGATTTAAAATGACAGTGATTGCGTGATCACTGAACCGAGTAACAAATTGTTACTCAAAGGTCATTCATTTTTGTACCATTTTGCCAAATTACATCTTTTTTTTTTTTAGACGTCATCTGCTGTTGTCATATACAGATTTCAGTCAAAAGGCCCATTCACACCAAGGACCGTAACAATAACGATAAAAATATAGTTATAATTATATTTTTATAAATGTGAAAGAATAGCAGAGCCCACACCACAAATATAACGATAACGGCACAGAGAAACAATATGGTTGGAGTCACTTACATTGTAAAAAATAATTGTTGGTTTAACTTAAAAAAGTAAGTTACCTCGTTGTCCAACAAAAATTGAGTTCATTGAAATAGTTTTTTTTAGTTAATGCAATGAAGATTGCTGTAATACATAGTAACTACACTGTAAAAAAATATTGTTGGTTTAACTTAAAAAAATTATGTAACCTGTTTGCCTTAAATTTTAAGTTGATTGAAATGGAAAAAGTGAGTTATTACATTGAAGGAGATTGATTTAACCATCAGAAACTCAAAATAATAAGTTATCTCAACTAAATAAATTATTTAAGTTGATTTGACAAAATAAAAAGTGTTGTGATAACAAATCTTGAAAATATTTTTTACAGTGTATCTGAACCACATTAATTGCCTAAATTGATTTGACAAAAGATAATACGTTTTTTACAGTGCAGCTGATGAACGCTAAAAACACTGACAGCCAATCAGAATCCATCCTGCTCGATTTAAAGCAGCAGACGGCAAAACCGCAGCACGACACTGGTGTAGACACTAATATAGTTATCTTTATTGGTGTGAAAGGGCCTACCAGTCAACCAAATCAATAACATTTCCATACTACGTTTTTCCTAAAATCTTTACAGCTTTCTAAAAAAACAGTTTTTTAAAAAGTCCCTTTAGTTCATCCTTTCTTCTTTGAAGACTAGAATAACCTCGACAGCAGAAACACGTGTATTCAAACACATACAAAACATACAGTGGAAAACACAACAACGCACAATAAAACACCTGCAATCCTCCGAGGGTACTTTGAAACCCTTTTTTGAACCCTTTCCTCCTGTTTACGAGGGTTTTAACGGTGGACTCCTGTCTGCGGCATCATCTCGTGCCTGATTTAGAAACCCTTGATGATGCAATAGGCCTCCAAGGAGGACAAGATGATGTACATCAGCCAGAGACTGAAAAACAACGTTGTGGTCAGGATTTTGGGTGTCCGCGGGCCACCAAGTTCCCCCCCGATCTCGGGCCTTCGGCGGTACATGAGGACGGCGACACAGATGAAGGCAAAGATGGTGAAAAGGGTGACGGAGAACGCTAGCGTGCCGGGCTGCACACGGAAGTACTCGCCCTTTGCCTGGTGGTATACGGCAGCGATGGACCAGGCCACCCCGATGCCCAGGAACACGTTCACAGCATTGCTGCCCGTCACATTGCCGATGGAGGCGTCAGCGTACTGATCCTGGGTGGCTGCCACTTTACTAGCGAATGTGTCTGATTTTGAAGAGGTGGTGAGAGAAAGAAAGACAGAAAGGAATAAATATTGTCAACAGCTCTGTCAATAAACGGGCGAATCTTATGAAACTTGTAAAGAACATGTCCAGTTCATATTGTGCCTGGAAATCAGAGTTTGTGTAAAGGAAGTTAAGCTTATTTTTAGGTCCATTAAGCTTTGTGACAATACACATTTCCTTCCAAATTCTCATTGTAATAAAAAATTCAAAAATGTGAAATGATCGCATGCATATCTAAATCGCATGATATATCATTTATTACAATTTAAATGGTTTAGTTGAAAATGTATTATTTGAAAGTACATTTAAATTATGCTGATTTTACGGAAGCGTATTGCATTCACTTGAGGAAACCAAATCTACTCTGTTTTTCCGAATTAATTAGTTAATTATCTCAGAATTACAAGATCATTTTTCATGGAAAAAAGTTTTTGCTCTGTTTTTCAGAATTTCTGAGTTTTTTAGATAATCAAGTCATTAATTCAGAAAAAGAGCAAAAACAATTTCCATGAAAAATTATTCTGTAATTCTGAGATAATTAACTCATTAATTCAGAAAAACAGAGTAGATTTTTTTCTTCAAGTGAATGCAATACGCTTCGTAGATTTACGTATATATATATATATATATACCAATTCAAAATATTTAAGCATTACCAATTCAT